TTGTTCTGTCCAGCCTCTGTCTTCAATTCAAGGCCATGTTCAGGTTGGATGGCGCTCCTGGTCTGTGATTGGGATCTGGTCTCACCACTAGCTAGCTCAGTGACTTTGGGGACATCACTCTCTGTTTGGGTTTCACCTACCTTCTTCTGTGAAATCAGTATGTCTAGAAAGCTTTTAAAGATCTCTTTCATCTCTGAAATTAAGAGTTTCTAGGAAGGCTGGTGGAGAATGCCTATTGATGCTTTCAAATGTCACAGAAATAAGCAACATGCATCATTCAACTACCATGGGTGTTGAATGTGGTTTATTTCTCTTAATTGATATATATAGAATTATTTATAGAGAAAAATCACATTTACTCTATTTTAAAGACTAACGAATAAGATCCACAATGTTCTCATGAACAAGTTCTAGTATTTTTACAAAAGTTTGCCTTAATCTGAGTTAGTTTTATCAGCCAAGCTATGTTTACTCTCCCCATACACAGTATGGTGTGAAAGACATACTGGGCTGTTGGTAGTCTTCTAGGTAGCCCCTTTCTTTACTTAGTTCTACTTCAGACTCATGGAAAATTATCCTAATTCCATTTTTCCTTTTAAAATATTTGCATTGCCACTAAAATCAAGAGGTCAAAGCCTAGCCATTCAAGTGAGAGCAGACATGCAACTCCAGCACTGTCAGAAGAGATTTGGATTTCCTCGTCAGGAATGACATTTGAGTCAAGTTATGGAACATATAAGTGAGAGAAGTTTTCATGACTTTCCAGTCACACTTGGAAAAGCATTAGCCAGCCTGACTGGCATGTTATTCATGAGGCTTGGCCAGGAATGACTTTTGAGGAATGATAAAAAGATCGATTTTACTGTTAAACATGAAGACTTTTAATGATATGTTAATTAAATAGATCATTCCTATTACATTATATGGTTGCTTCCACGTCCCCTAGTACTGACCCTTTGCTCCCATTACCGCCCACTTATAGCAGTCCCCCTTCTTTCTCTTCTATGCACTGACCCATTCATTTGTTCATGCATTAAGCACCGACTTGGTCCCAAGTAGTGTTTTGGGTGGAGGCAGCCCGGGAAATCTACAGAGTGAGGAGGAAGAGTGGGTTGGAGGTGGGACAGAAGGGCAGTGAACAAGGTCCTTTGAGGTGCAGGAGGATGTAGCATCCTCAGGGAACTGAAGAGGGTCAATATGGTTGGAGCTTAGAGTTCAAGGAGACAGAGTGAAAGGTGGTAGCCAGCTACCTCCAAGGATCTCACCAGCCCTTTTCCCATCAAACTTTAGGCTGCTCTTTTTATGTGCCCCCCCCCTCCACTTCCCACCCCATCTCCAGCACATCTTAACCAGCAGCAATAGTTGTATTAACAACAGGAACATCATGGCGTCATGGGGCTGAATGCCCCCCCGCTCCACTCTCCTTCCTCTGCCAGGCGCTTTCCAAACACTGTCACATTGGATGCCCACAACTACCCTATGTGGCAGATACTACTGTCATCTGCCACCCACAACCCCTCTATATTTTCTTCTACTAAACGGTCTCCATTTTTTTCATCCATTTTTCATATGACATAGTCTGATATCCTCTCATCCTCTTAGGAATGCCCATAAGACCATGCTCCAGTTCACCTCTGTCTACTAAGATATGGAGACACTGACAATGGAAGGACCCTGGTTTTCTCAGATCACTAAGGTTGTCACTCCTCTCATTCTGAAAACCCTATTTCTATGAATACATATGGACATGCAATGAAAATGTTTTTGAGGAATCAATTCACATTTTGGATTCATACCGAATTTAATATTGACGAAGACCTCTAACTTTTCTGTTCTGCCATGCCTCCGTCTGTACCTGGTGATTCTGTTGTGGCGATGCATATGGGATGATAACCTTCTGCAATATATTTGCATTAAAGTGGGTGCATGCCTCCAGCTTCCACCTTACCTCTCAGTCACACCAGGCAAGATGAAGAACATCCAGAAGTGAATTCCAAACACGAGAATGACCTGAAAAATGACCTTTCCCAGTACAGTCTTCCTGAGGTATAGGGCTCGGTCCACCACCATGGTTCCAAACTGAATGAGGACCATCACCAAAAACGGCCCAGGAACCTGGTCCTCCGACAGTGAAGAGGTGATGTCTGCTGCTGCTGAGTGTTTCTGGGAAGGAAACAACAGGTTCAGGCACGAGTGGCATTTCACAGGACAGCATCACTCTTGCTCACTGGATGAATAGTGGCCTTTGCCCCCAACCTACCCCGAAGGCCCAGAAGCCAAAGACGATGATGACAAAGTCAACAGTGTCAGCCAGGAACATGAGCACATACACGTCGGTCACAGCACTGTAGTCTGGATGGATGAGGTTGTAGAAGAACTGTCTGATGGGCACATATATTTGCAAAGTCCTGCAAAATAGAGATCCCCAGCACTTGCTTCAGGAGGGGCAGGATGGGAGGAATGACCAGATACCGCCATCATTCCATTCCTCTGCATCCCTCTCTCCAAGCAGGTCACACTACCCTCTTCAGCCTGAGCAGAGTCTGCTACGGGTGGCTCCTGCTCTAACAGAGAGTAGACAAATTCATTGCCAAGGAAGGCACTATGGCCCTTTTTGCTGATGAGACCACAGGCCTCCTCTCTTGCTTGAAGCATAATAGTGGTCTCAAGTCCCGGAAATGAGGCGCTGGGTTTGTCACCTGATTCAATGACTCCCCGTCTGGGAGCCCCTGAGCACGCCACTTAGTTCTCTGTGTTTTTGTTTCCTCTATTGTAAACCTCAGGTAAGAAGCAGACCTGAGACTCAGGGCTGCGGTGAGAATTATATGGGACTACATGGCAGTGCTTAGACCTGGAGTCTGACCCGAGCACCAAGGACACATTAGGTAGCCCCTGCTCTTCCCCTTTTTGGGTCCTGTGCCCCTCCTGGTTCCCAGGTAGTGCCTTGGGCTTTTAACTGCACTTTGTTCTGTCCAGCCTCTGTCTTCAATTCAAGGCCATGTTCAGGTTGGATGGCGCTCCTGGTCTCAGAGCCCACATCCAGGGCCAGCCCTGCTGAACCTCCTCCATTCCCATTGCTCGAGAGATGCCTATGTCCCTGGCACTTGGGCGGGTGGGGGGAGGGTGCATTTTGCTAGAGACCAGCTGTGTGATATTGGACCTCAGTTTCCCCTCTCTAGGATGAGAGTGTTTCTCTAAGTCCCTTCCAACTTTGACATCATACACTTCTCCATCTGGTTGGACTTTAGCATGATGATGCTTGGAAATACATACCAGGAATCCTTGAAATCATTTATTCTATTCAAAAAGGAAAACTATGTTTATAAACATAATGGATATAAAAATGAATCACACAAAAAAGTGATTTTTAAAAGCAACACATCCCCTCACACCTGTTAGAATGGTAATCAGCACAAAGACAAGAAATAACAGGTGTTGGTGAAGATGTGGAAAGAAGAGAACTCTCGTGCACTGTTGGTGGGAATGTAAATTGGTGCAGTCATGGTGGAAAACAATATGGAGGCTCCCCCCAAAATTAAAAATAGAACTACCATACGATACAGCAATTCCACTTCTGGGTGTTTATCTGAAGGAAATGAAAACTACTAACTCAAAAAGATATCTGCACCCTAGGTTAAGTGCAGCATTATTTACAATAGTTGAGACAGGGAAGCAGCCTAAATGTCCATTGATGGATGAATGGATAACAAAAATATGGTGTGTGTGTACACACACACAGACACACAATGGCATATAATGAAATATATATATTATATATAGAACAAGTCAGAGAAAATCAGATAACATATGATCTCACTAATACATGGAATCTAAAAAAAAAATCAAAACCAAAACCCCTTCCTCATAGAGACAGAGAACAAATTGATTGTTGCCAGAAATGGGGGCTGAGCAAAATGGGTGAAGGGGGTCAAAGTATACAAACTTCCGTTTATAAAATAAGTTAGTCCTGGGGATGTAATGTACAGCATGGTGACTGCAGTTAATTAATCCTGTACCATACATTAACCTTAAATATTCTCATCATAAGAAAAAAATTTGTAACTATATGTGGTGATGAATGTTAACTACACTTATTGTGGTGATCATTCCACAACATATGCATATATCAAATCATTATGTTGTACACATGAACTTAACCTAATGTTATATGTCAATTATATCTCCATTAAGAACAATATGATAATGGGTCATTTTCTTCTGCCTTACGCAGATATGTCTGTGATATGAGAGGTAACTTCTCTGCTCTTTAGCCCTGGTTTATATGAAACAATTGATACCAGCTCCCTGGCCCTAAAATAAAACACACCATCCAAGTGTCTTCAGGCACTCACTTCTTTATGGTAAATGCTTTAGCTTTGATTAAATGTTCTTGAAGCTTTTCCATATAAAGTTCCCTTTTGCTTCTCTGCTTGATGCTTAAAACACTGCTTCCTTTTTGACTGCTGTTCCGGGTGCTTGTGCTGCCTAGAAATAAAAAGAAACCAAGATGCACTGAGTTACGGGTTTGTTGACATGAATACCGCAGAAGCCCCTGGAACCCACATGGCAGAGGATGGCTTGAAGTGGATTTAGAGGGTGAGTATACACAGGTGCCTGTAGGAACACAGGAGGACTTGGAATCTGCAGTTTCAACCTGCCTCCACAGTAAAATGCATCTGTGGGCTTCTACACCCAACACTGGCTCTTTCTGGCATTGTTATGTGATCTTTATCCCCGGAAGAAAGAGACTAGAGGTGCTAACTGGGGCCCCAGGTTGTGGGAGTTCCAGATTGGGTCCATGACCCATGTCTTTTTCATGTCCAGATTTCTCTAACTGTAAAATGAATATTGGACGACTGAAAGGTGTATTCTGAAGATGAATATGCAGGTGTTTGGAAAGCTTTAGGCATTAGCACTATAAATACAAAAACCCAATTTCTCCAAGAGTGGCAACTGCCGGGCCTGTCTATCTGCTGATGATACTCACTAGTTAATAAGAAATGAACAACTAAAGTATAAATAGATGGCTTTGCTAAAAGTTCCCTTGATTGAATCTAAAAATATTTTCAAAATAAAATGTGATTTATAGCATTCTGGACACACCCAGAAGAATTCTCTGGATATGACTTAAAAACTAGCAAGTGCCCACACGGGCAGTGTCCTGGCCCCTTTTCACAATTACCTGAAGTCTTTGTCCTGGGAAGGAATCAGACATTTTGAAGAATGTTGTGACTGCCCCAGGTCACACAGCTGAGCCAGGATCTGAACTCAGGTCTGTCTGATTTCAAAGTACTTTCTTGTCATATCACAACATCTGTCTCCTTGATAGCACCCAATAAACACCCCTGCCCAAGACCCAGACCCACTAGAACCAGAACAACCAGAAAACTCAGGAGTTATTCTAGCCTAAGGATATCATGGGACAGATACCTCTTTTGGACCTATTGGAAGAAAAGCTGGATCTGGGGGATATCTGGGAGCTGCTTCCCGATCGCTTCCTCCGGATGGCAGTGGGCTGCTCCGGGAAGGATACGTGTACCGACTCTGCCGATGCGGCCAGGTTGATGGATTTGAGAGAATCGGAGGAGGCTCTCCTGCCACGACTGAGGGAGAGCTCATCATCTGACTCTTCCTTGTCTGTGCCACTGTCGGTGATGTCATCTTCATCCCACAAGCCATGGCACTGAGAAAGCATAAGGGACAACTCAGGGGGCCGTTCCAAGGGAGGGAGCTATATTCTGCCCTACAGTATCACATCCCCCATGATTAGAAAGCCAAACGTGAGATATGGTGACTACAGTTGGTGACACTGTATTATATAACTGACATGTGCTAAGAGAGTTAGAATTTAAATGTTCTCACCAAAAAAAAAAAAGAAAAGAAAAAGAAAGGAAAAGAACACAGACACATATGGGAGGTGATGGGTAGTAATTAGCTCCATGGAAGGGGTCCTTTCACAGTGTATACGTAAATCACATCACCACGGCACGTTCACTACGTAAACCACATCACACTTTAAATCTACTACAATTTTTTGTCATTCATACTCCAGTAAAGCAGAGAAAAGATTAGAAAACCAATGGATTCTAAGAAAGCTTATTATCTAGATGCTTATGATGGTCCCAGTAGAGTGAGGATGAGTGGGTGCAGATCATAAGAGTTTGGCTAATTAACTGACATATGGAGGCAGATGATGTTTGGTGGATGGAGTAAGGGTGGAATTAGAATCACTTGACTTGTTCCTGAGTGAAAGCACTTTCTAGAACATATTTCTCTGTGCTTACAAGTAGCATTTTAAATATCAATGGGTGAATTTAGCCCCACTGCCCCATGTTCACCAAGTATCTATACTTGGATAATGATGCTGCCCTTCCCTCAACCTACACAGTGAGATGTGAACCCCTGGATCACCCATGGCTGAGTCAGGAACAGAGCAGCAAATACTTTACCCAAAAAATGTTGGTCCTCATATAAGACAGAGATTATGATGCACTCTGCAGAGTCTTGATTTTGCTTCAAAGAATAAGCAAAAGGGGCTGGTAGGACAGACAGGAGGAAGGACAGCAGAAGAGGCTGAGAAAAAACAGGGACCTTGCTGGTGCAAGATGCTGCCTGGACAGCAAATCCCCCTTCCAATGAACTTGCTGCTGCTGCTCGAAGCTCCCCAGTGAGCCCACTGCCTTCTGGGTTCCCAGACTGCCAGGCTATGCATTTATTCCCCAGGACCTTGCCCAGTCCTCCCTCTGACACAGGCTGTAGAGGATAAGAGCTCCAGGCCAATTTGCCAAAATCCAGTTGGTCAAAAAATAACTTGTAGAATGATCAATTCATTAAAAGAAAAAGTCACCTAATTTACAGACCATTCTTAAATATTAATAGATATATTGTTTCTAAAAGATATTCAATGGATGCTATTCTTATAAACATAGCAAACATTCTAGATTTTCATAGTGAGATTTTTCAACTTCTACTGATTTCTATTAAATCATTTTTCTTTTAAATTATTTTAAAAGTTGTTTCCTCTTTTGCCAACATTTGAACATACTTAGATTCTTTTACTACTTTCATAGTGGCATATTTGTTAGTGATCTCTTCCAATTATTTATAGAATTTCTAGCAACTCATATCAAATAGGATGGTTTTAGCCACTTTTGAAATTTCCATATAGTTTGAGTTGTTTGGTTTCCATAGCAGCACTGTTTAATAGGTTTCCAAAGCTATAGGGTAGTTTTGTCTTCTTATGAAAAGATTTGTCATCCCCAAAACTATTTTTCATATCATTAGTCAAAATTTCAGCATAATAGTACCTCAAATACATTCACCATATATATGAAATTTTCGAAGGAGAAATCAGAGTAAGTATATCAATATGAAACACCAAAATTTTGTTTATTGTGTATTGTATTTGTTAAATATACAATTATAGCTCTTAAACCATTTAAATATTAATGAAAAGGCAGCAAAAATGCCTAAAGATTTATACAAATTTTTAATTGATTTTTTATTTTTAACTTTAAAAAAATTTTTTAGAGAGTGTGAGCAGCAGGGGAGGGGCATAGGGAGAGGGAGAGAGGCTCCATGCCCCATGCAGAGCCCGATGCAGGGCTCAATCTCACGACCCTGAGCTCATGACCTGAGCTGAAATCAAGAGGCGAACGCTTAACTAAATGAGCCACCCAGGTGCCCCCACAAACTTTTTAAATGATGCACAAAAGTTGCAAGAGAGTTCTGAAGTGACCCAATCTATATGATTATGTCTTTTTTTTAAAAAATTGAGGTGCAATTGACATACAACATAATACTACCATGTCTTAAATGCAGAAATTTAAACTTTAATTTCTAGAACTAAAGAAGTGATGTTAATATATTTGTTAATATATTCATAACAAGAATTAGTAAACTCTATGAATTCAGGTAACTTATCAGAAGAACTGGAAATTCTAGCCAAATTCAATTCTGGCTAACTGGTTTCCTTGGATAATATACCTTTGCAAACCCAGCACAGCCCTGTGACCCAGGTAAGCCTCCCCCTGAGTGGAGGGTTAAGGACTTGCACATTTTGCAAGGTGTTGAAGACAGAGTGAAAATCCTGACCAAGGTGTACGCAGAGGAGGCCCAGTTTGAAATAGCATGCTGAGTAGGACAGAAGTCGAACACATTGTTACATATGTCTGTATGTGTGTGTGTGTGTGTATTAACTTATGTCAGCTTGTTCTCAAAAGGAACTAATGAAGATACTACTTAATAAAATGAATTTGAAATATTTTATAAAAAATGAGACCAGGTTAAAATAAGAGACAGAAGTAAGGTAGTGACAATTGGCACATTGATACATAAAATGTGTATTATGCAGCAATTTCTGATTTTTAGAGTTGAGTAGTGTATTTGCAAGCTTAGCTTATAGTTCACAGTGTACAAGACGAAAAACCCACATGGTTTTTCAGGGGGACGACAAGAGTTGCTGAACCTGAGACAGACCATCCTGTAAATAGGTCTTGCCAGAGTAGTGTAATGAACGGCTTTCTCAACAATAAGCTTACAAGAAGCACAGCTTTGGGCTTCACGCAACCATTTAATGTATGGTCTCTCAATAAAGCTAATAGTTTCATGACAAGAAGTATCCAACAAAAGCAATTCTACTAAAAGAAAGTAGCAGAAGTTGGAATCGAGATGAGAGGCAATATGATCTACCCTAAATTGTAGCTCTCTGGTGTTCTGGCTTAAACAAGGAGCAGAATTTAGTGTATTAAGCATGAAGACATTGCACACCATCCAAGCAATTCCCACAAATATGGATTAAGTATGATATCTTCATAATAGAAGTAGAAATATGGGGGAATTTTCTCCCAAATTTATAACAAGTTCCATTACTGAGCACACAGTGTTAGAGAAAATGTCCACTAAATGAACGTAGCTGCTAAAGAAAGAAAAAGAGCATACAAGGAGATGCACTCATTGGCCCCCTGGCCTCATGACCAGTCCTAATGTTCAGGTTCTCCAGGGATATCACAGGTGGCTGCAATCATCAATATGTGCTGGTCAGGTATTAATGTGCCATACCTTCAAAATTGACCGATGGAAGAAAAGAGCCAGGAGCTGAATGAGATCGTAAAGGACATAACCTTCTTTCTTTTCCACTCCTATGATATTAGGTGGGTGGTAAGGTTTATCTTTGTTCAATTCCACATTCTTGTTCCAGGGAAAGAACCCAAATTGGAAGAAATACTTGACCACAATTGCCACCTACACACGGATGATGGAAATTAAAAAAAAAAATTACTCCTTTTAAAAATGGCTATATATAAAAAACAGTGATATAAAAAATTTAAAGATCATTTCATAATTTTGATGATAAGAATGAACATAATTATGTGGAATAATAACATTATCCTTCTCACACGGACTTTAGACCAAGAGTAATATTTTACTTTTGTGAGTGCCTCTGATTGCAGATACATGAGGGTCAGTCCGGTTACTTACAACACCTACTTAAATGATTTTCTCTATTTTTGAGGACTTGGCTAATTTATACTGACTTAATGAGATATTTATATAGTTATTCAGCTATTAAAATACAGTAATGAAGAAAAACTTGAACAAAACGAAGTTTATATTTTATGTATTTCTTTGATTTGTAATCTTTCTGAGCATCTCAGGCAGTTTCGATGCCTATTTTCACTTTCCTCTGATCTCTTTCTTCTCACCATTTTATTGCTCCCTGGAAGTTCTCCTCAAGAAGAAATAAAGTAAATAAAACAAAGACTTGCCAGTTATGGTGACTAGTTCAGGGTATAAATGTTGTAGAGAGGTGGTTTGCGACAAAGACACATGAGAAATTTGATGTGCCTCATTTAAGCATCCCTCTAACATCTGTGTCACCAGAGGATAATTACAATATATGTAATTCATCAATAAAAATATTTCAAAAATCCTCTTTTGACCTAGAGTCTCATTTTACGTCTTCTCCTGTCTCTCTGCTTCTTACAGTCAAGCCTCTGCAAAGAACAGTCCTGTGCTCCTTATCGTCTGAGCAGCACCGTCACATCCCGGATGCCAGAACAGAAACCTGAAGACCATCCTTGACTTTCCCTTCTCACTCACACCCCAAACTGTTTTAGTCTCTTACTAGAACTTCTCATTTACCCATTCATCTTCAGCCTCATCGCCGCTGGGTCAGTTCACATCCTCTGACCTCTCACCTAGACAGTTTCCCAGCTGGTCTCCATGCCTTCACATGATTTCATTTTGTGTAAAACCTTGGTAAAGACAAGCATTACTGGGTCATGCCTCTGCTCAAATATTTCCATACCAGGGGGAGAAAGTCCTGAGCATAAACCCTGTTGACATTCCCAAGATCCTGCTACTGTGCTGTCCACTCACAGCCTGCCTTCCAGCCATCGAAAGCCACCTGTCATTCCTGGCACATGCTAGAGCGTCATATGCCTGTGTTTCTTTGCATGGGTTATTCCCAATGACTTGCAGCTCCCTTTGCTTTCCATCCTTTGGTGACTTTACATTCATCCCTCAAGACTCAGGTCCAAGATGTCTTCCACTGAGAATTTGCCATGATAGCCTCTCTCCACTCCACTCAGCCTGCATGAGGCACAGTATCCATCTTTCTTGTATACTCTAATGCAGTTTTGTGTCATATTACAGGGCAGTTCTTTGTTTACAACATATGTTTGCCACATTAGTCTGTGAGCCATTGAGAAACAGAAAAACTTAAAAAAAAACAACAAAAAAAACCTTATTGTCCTTTTCTCAGGCCTAGCACAGTTCTAGGGTTTTGGCACATAGTCTAAGTTGTAGAGTGAATTAACATCAATTTAATTTTCCACTTCCTCACTCCTTGGTGTGATGGAGAAAATGGAGAACCCAGTTTAACTTAACTAGGACGATTTTATTTTATGATGAAAGCTACATATAAGTAGCTCTTGTTCCCTTTTCTAAGTTCTTAGTACCTGCCCTCTTCCACTTCTAGGTTAGAAACTCCCTCACTCAAAGGTGTTAGAGAGAACAGACCCATTCCCCCAATAGGGAGTCATTTATGTCCCAGATCACAAAGTGGTGTAGTGGAAGTAATACTTAAAAATGATTACTTTGGCGAGATTGTGATGGACAGACTACTTAAAATAATAGATATGTATTTGGCTTTACATCTTTTATTTTTATAAGCATTTAAATGTATTTAAATAATTATTATGGAAATGAGATACATAATACTTTAAATTGATGCTTTTGAGATGATTTGGCAAATAACCTTGTTTTATTTTACTGAATTACCTATAAACCTACAAAATTTCTAGAATCTAAATGTACATCCATCATGAGTTCTTTTCTTTAAGGAGCAATTACAGTACCATTGCTAGCGAAAACTTTCCCTTATGAGCCAGGTAAGGAAATCAGCCTTCTTCACAGACCCCAGAATACAAAGAACTACAATAACCCAAGGCACAAATCTATTGAGCCTCCCATTTTATGCCCAATTTTATTGTTGTCATGAAAATTTGTGATCTTCTATATATTTAATAAGGAAGGATAGAAAAGCAGGTTTAGACAATTGGGAAGAGTGTCTCCTGTCCCCTCACATGTGACAAAAATAAGGTAACTTACTCTTGTGTCATTCAGATTTTTAGATAGGCACTTATATGGCTTTGTGTTTTGGTGTGTGGAAACTGGCTTTTAGGCTTAAAAATGGGAAATGTGCCTGTTGTACCAAACTATATTCAAAATGCTTACTGTATTGTTTAATTCAGTGTCCACTCAACTGGACATCCACCAGCACCAGGCACCACACTTAGTTCCGCATAACACATTGTCTCAGTGGTTAATATCATAGGACGGATGACCAGATTTCAAAAGCCCACCCCACCATTTGCCAGCTGGATAACTTTGGTCAATTATTTAGTCTCACTAAAGCTGTTTCCTTCTCTGTAGCACCTATCTTGTGTGAGGTGTGTAATGTAAAAATACATACAATTGCTAGCACTAAACAGCTGTTAATAATAATCGTGTGCCTATCTAAGAGCATCCATCTAGCTGAATATCCTATTTCAACTGTCCTGAAGACAGGGCAGACCCGCCTAGAGTGAATGCCAAAAGTGATTTCCAGGAAGGTTCCACCCCAAGCTTACCTCTGTGTAGACAATGGCCATCATCCAGAATCGTCTACTGGGCCTGGGGACAGACAGCATGGCCCACAGGAAGATCAGAATGGGGAGCACAAGGGTGATCATGGAAGCAGAGACCATGTGGTTTAGTATGATCACAAAATAGCACACCATTTCTGAGCGAGCCACCAGAGTGTTGTACATGGCATAGAACAACAGCAAGAACCGGGGCTGGCCGACGTAGAATTTCTCTGACTCTTCAAGCTCGTCATCATGGAACATCCTATTAAAATAAACAACATGATAACAAATGGTTCTTCATTTCTCCAAATTACTGATTTCCACCTTGCAAGATCCCTCCTGTCCCTCCCTGCTTCGCATGTCCCCAGATTTCCGGGGAAGCCAACCTAATAGCCTATTACAGAAAGAAATGTGGGCACCAGTGTCTACTCTGGACAGCTTTTGCTAGTTCTGTCGTTCACGATGGAAGCACCCAACACTGTGTCTATTTGCTTGACCCTCGAGGTGGACGGCTGTCCACGGGAGTTTCTCTCCCTTCAAGCACAGAAGGCCCAGAAGCGCCCGCGGGGCTCTTACTTGTTCAGCAGCAGCTCGCTGGCCGTCAGCTCGTGAGTCAGGGGCGGTAAGATGCTGGACTCGAGCCTGTCCGAGCGGCTGTCGTCAGGACTCACGGCCATGTGGCTCTGGCCTGCAGAGTCATCCCTCGAGCAGAAGGACAGGCGCTCGAAGCTGACTGCCTTGCTGTAGGACGGCGGGGCCTCCACGTCCCCGTCCTCGGTGGAGTACTGCGGCAGCTCAGCCTCCGGGGTGAGGCCGACGTCTGAGGCCTCCGAGGCCTCCGAGGCCTCCTCCGGCCCCATGTCCGCCGTGGCCTCCCCGCCCTGCCGGGCGTCCCCGGCCGCCGCCTCGTCGTCCTGCTCGGCCTCCACCTCCGCTATGGTCTCCGTGGTCCCCTGGCGCGAGTACAGCATGGTGCACTGCGTGGGCTCGCTGTCCGGAGAGAGGGAGGGCACACAGCCCGGTCTCAGTATCCTCCCGACTCTCCCGGCACCTTCTCAGCACTCCCCAATAAAAACATTCAGAGAAAACTAAATTACCCCCCCCGCCCCGCCTGCTTTATTCCTTCAGGATGTTCCCGTCTGGTCTGCAGAGACTGCAAATGGAAGCCCCTTAAAAGCAAAAAGCCCACAGTGCACACACACGGGGGTTGAAAACCTGAGCAAGTCACGTGACATGGCTCATAAGTTGCTAAACCCACCTATGCACAGAGGTGGTCTAAATCGGGTCAGGACTCACAGCCAGGGGTTCCGGTGTTTATTCCCAAATCAAGACAGAGTTAGCGCAGCATACCTACCATTCTATTAAAGGAGGGTGCCTACTGGAAACAGGAAGCCTCCTTGCCAGCCTGGGTCTGTGGGTGTTGGCCAGGAGGTACTGTACTCTCAGTTCTACACAATGCGTCCACCCCTACCCATAAGGGGAGGATAGGAATGATAAAACATTGGCTAAATTAAACAACTGCATGCTTTATGGGGGAAAAAATGGCATTCTTCTTGAATATCTGTTCCTCCCCCCTATTTTTCCATCCTTTGCCTTTTTCTTCCCGGTGCTTATTACATTTGACTGAATTTTCACCATCTCTCCAGCTCCCAGCCACCCCCACTGGATTCTTTGCTTTGCACATGGAAACACCACCATTTTCCCCACCCCAGTGCTATGGACCCTTGGCCCTTTGAACTGTTGGCTCCACCCCCAGGGTGTACTCCTGCTCTCTCCCCGCCAAAAGACTTCAACTTATTTTCTTCTACCTGCTCCCCTTGGGGGGTGTTCATTCTCCCTAAGCTTCCCTACTTAGCTTAACCTTTTGTTTTTAGCAACCTGTCCATCTCTCTTGTACCTCTCCTTCTTTAGTCCTTTATCTCCTCATGTTACCTGTTATGTCCCTGCTGGAGACTTTGGAAATGAAAATACAGCAGCCACACCAGGGAAATTCATGGCATGCCTGTTTTCACTGTCCACCCCAGCCCCCTGAATGGGAGAAGGGCAAAGATGTTCTGGAGTTGTGGAATCTGGTGGATGTAGAGCCATACTGTATTAGACTCGGAAATTGTACTGTTATTCGAATGGCATATAGTGAGCAGCTAGGGTCCATACACATTGAGATTCTCAAATACACAGATTGTACCCATTTTTGTGTCACAGACACCAGTGTGGACATCACATTGACATCAATGTGAGTGGATGGATGCATGGATGTGTAGATGGGATGGATGGATGATCAGACCTAGGCAGAGCCCTTCGTGGCATCCTGAGACTGAAGAACATTTGTGTGAGCACTTGGTGCCCACTCATGTGTTTAATGTTCCCAGGACCTTGGCCTTCAGTATGGACATCACATAGAAAGCTCTCAGAATGTCAAGGCAAACTGGATTTTTTCCTAGGACTTACCTCGATTAAACAGCCTCTTAGGAAGTTCATGAGATTGGTCACCCTAGACAATTTTCAGAGCAGTGGAGCCAAGCCCACATCAAGTCTAACTTCCAGTTGGATCCTAACCAATTACAAGCATGCTCTTTATGGTTTTGGATCAGGTCTAGCCCTAAGGGATTCAGCTTGTCCTGGTACCTTCAAGACTCAGCCAAGTGGAATGGAATAGCATGTGCCTGCCAGGGGACATCTCAAACGGCCAAGGCATTCCCATCAATGCCAGCCTCCAGCATACTGCAGCACTGTTTTAAGATATTCAGCTGCCAACTAAAATAAGTTAACACCCCTCTGATTTACCACTATGTGCAGTCAAAATTAAAATTTGTCTTGGATTGGGTTATTTTGGTGTCAGGATAAGCACAATGTAGCTGATGTTTCTGTGCCCCCATGGGCCATTCTAAAAGGCAATTCCAAAAAGAACTTTTGGACCTTATGTAAATAATTTCATTTCTAAATGATTATGCTTTTATGGTAGGATTTAATGAGACAACTCAAGCCCAAAGCAGTGCAAGTTACAGTCTACAAAGGTGATATATTCTACTGCATCATAATACTCTTGTCTAAAACCAATGGCAAAATATATTCTAACTTTTACAGAATTATTCTTATCAACTAAAAAGACTACAGGTGGCATATTTTTTCTTTCCTATTGCATGTGTCTTTCCTGACACATTTTCCCCTGTGAGGACTGCCTACATGAGCTCTCAAGGAGGAAGCACGCTTATTTCTTTAAAAATGGAAAGTGTAAAATACTTACAAAACGAGGACAATGTTTATGATAAGGATTTTTAAGAAACTCCTAACAGACAAAAACTGAAGAGCGGTTAGTTTCAGAGAATGCCGTCCTGGGAATGAGCAGTTATGTCCCAGAATGAGGAGCGGTGATGCTCTGGTGAGTCATGCAAATTCTTAACATAAAAATTAATAAAACAAACAAACAAACACATCACAAGAACTTATATCTGCAATGACATGAAGGGGAACAAGTGAGAAAATTCTGGAACAAAGCATGCACGAGTTAAGCACCTTGATGCTAAACTGCTACTGTCAGCTGATGAGGAGGACATATCCATGCTGAACATTTTACGAAGCCTAGGTCGAGCACGCTCACTTGTTTTAGGAACAGTTTCTGGTCCATCTAAATCATCAAGGGTAGATTGCCTTGAGAACAGCATGGTTGCTTCGGTGTAGCAGCTAGCAGCGCAAACAGTCACAGAGACACAGGGTTAAAACACCAGTGGTACATCAGTTTACACGCGGATCAGTCGACCGACACACCGCCATGCAGCAAACCACACGCGACACCACCACTACGGATGCCGACACCACAGCGGGGCTCAGGGAAGGGAGGTCGGGGGGGCCTGGCTGGCTGCACGGTGAGACACCGCGGTTCTCGATTTGTAAAAATGTATCAGCTGGTGATGAATCATGAATGGTCCCCTCTCCGGGTCGGGCAGGGAACGGGAACAATGACAAGTCCCAACATGCCTTGCGCAGAGCGGAATTCATACTTTATAACTTTGTAACTGAGCTTTTTGCTGTTTTCATTAAAGACAATATGTTTTATTTGGAGCTCCCAATTCTGAGTGCATTGAAAGCATTTTGTAACCCAATTGCGGAAGCAGAAATATCTGCTCGTGTAAAATGTATACAGAACATTTTAGTGTTTTAAAAATAACAGTCTCCAACAATGAGAGAGGGAAGCTCAGAAATGACCACAAGGAACTGAATTGTCCACCCTGTTTTCTGAGTGGTATTCAGTTAAGCCAAACTAGATGCCTTGCGTGGAGAAGAGATGCTGGTTTGATATGCAACCGGATATAAACCAACATCCAAGAAAAATAAAAAAAGAAATAAAATGGTACCAAAAACAACAACAACAACAACAGAGGAAGTCTAGCGACGGCAGGGTCATTTTGTCTGTTAACTTCTCATTTTGTCTAATGACTTTTTTTCTTCTGGATCATGTTTTGGGTCTTGGCAGATGTTATTAGGGCGAGAACCCATTGGCTAAAATCCTCATGTTGCCCCCACGGAGCAAAAATCAGGGAGGGAATGGTGGCGGATTCAGGACTGAGGACTGCGTGAGCGACTAGAGGAGAAGAAGCAGACACAGTTACGACGTAGGCATCATTTCAGTGCTGACGTATAGTTTAACCCAAAGGGGGACAAGCACCCCAAAGAGCCTCTGAAGGAGGCTACTAGAATAAGCATCTTCCACCCCGAGCACCAATGGCCTGGCTCCTGAACGTCTGTATTTAATTTCCTATTTTTAGAGGCGCACCCCCATGGCCTTTTAGGGGTTTGCAGGCAAAAAAATACCGTGTACCCTCCCCTGCGGCCCTACTCAGATTTTCTGCGTGGGAACCACTGTTGGAATCCTGAAGTCTGACTCATCTTGTTAATGCCTAGGTCCACTGTCGCAGCAGCTGACCCTCACATCCCACACCATCCCACCCAGTTGGGTTCTGTGGAATGTGACCAATTGGTGGTCCAATCCAGGGCAGTTTTAAAAGTGAAAGGGAAGAGGAGGAGCCTTCTGATAACAGGCCCAGATGACAAGCCTGAAGGGACAGCTGCTGTCACCTCGTTGATCAGCCCGCACTTCGAGCCACCTCGGGGCACACGGCAGCCTCTTAGGTGACATGTTTCAGGGGAGAACCACCTCCTTCATATCTAGGAATGCTCCTTAGACTGTCATCTAATGTTTCTTGCACAATTTAAAAGAATTTATTTTCTGGGAAAGTAGATGATATCTGATTTCATAAAACAACCATTAAAACAAGTGCCATTTTACAGCTGGATCTGAAGGAAATAGTGACTTTTGCAGTAAGTCAAAGGGAATACAAAGTCATTTGTTGGGCTCTCATCCCATCTGCAGTACGCACAAAGGTGAAGATGGGTGACAGGGATGCCGGCACAGGAGCGTGGCCTGTGGGACAGCCCCACCCAGGCAGGGTCTCCGCCCAGGGGGCGGGGCCACACCAAGCATGCGCAGCCCCACGGTGGGCCAGTGCTAGACCCTGTCTAATGACACAGGTGTCTCCGAGTGAACTTCCACACTTGGAATCGCTTCTTGGGAAGACTCCTGCCTTTCTAGAAATCAGGTGGCTTCTAGTAGACTTTTTTTTTTTTTTAAGATTTTATTTATTTATTCATGAGAGAGAGAGAGAGAGGCAGAGGCAGAGGGAGAAGCAGGCTCCCCGCGGAGCAGGGAGCCCGATGTGGGACTCGATCCCAAGACCGTGGGATCATGACCTGAACTGAAGGCAGACGCTTAACCGACTGAGCCACCCAGGCGTCCCTTTGGTTGACTTTCATGTGGACAGATTTCGCCTGCAGATTTGATAGCTTCCTAAGGCAAAAAACTAGAAGTGGAGCTCAGCCATTAAGAAAAGGGCAGGTGTGTTAATTCATTTATTAACGACATAACGAACCCTCTTGTTTCTCCCCTTTCTTTAGGTTGAAGTGAAAAGTAAAAGATACATTAGGAACTAATTTTAAAGGTAGTGGTTTTCTACTAGTAAATTCATTGACTGATTGACCACTTCTAAATTTGGGGGGTATTCTAACAGTCTTTGTTAAAAAGCAATCAATGGATTTAAATAACTCCTACCTCATGGTTTTTGATCATGGGTACCGTTCTATATTTGTAACCTTGGGTCCGATTTAAAGGCAGTTACTTGATTTTATTTTATCAGTCTTCTTCTTCCTTTTTTATCCCTCTTAGGTTGTGATTTATAATATTAAGTTAGTCTCTTAGCTGGGCATGTTGTCAGTTGTTATGCAGTTAAAGGTTCCTAATACAGGAATCAAGTATGTTTATTTTATGGACAACTTATTTTCAATTCACTCTCTAATACTCTCTTTGATTTGTTTGATTCTGAGTTTGGTTCTTGAGCAGCTATTGTTAAGTCAGGTCAGGAGGCCTGTGAAACCCTTGAAAATTTGTGGGAAAATTTTGTATTTATTTGTACTTATTCCCTTTGGGAGATAGTATATCTCAGCAGTTTTCTCATCTTACCATTCTCCCCCCTTTTTTTTCCCAAACCAGTTCTTTGGTCATGAATAGCTTATAAAGTAGGTGGATTTGGAAACTCTGCGATCCCCTGTGGACCTTCATACACCCCTGTAACTAGAAAGCAGCGTCTGTCAGCATCTTGAATATCCACTACATTTGGACAAAAGTTTTTTTCACTCAAACAAATCTTGTCTCCCCCTGCCTCTGCGAACACACTTGTACATTTTTGCAAACGTGCTCATGCAGTCTTTATTTATTTTTAAGGGAAGAATTACCCATGAAGTCACTTGGTATAATGTGGGTAAAAATGGATTTTCAGTTTTTGCATAAAAATGAATCAAAGCAAAAATAATTCTGTTTAAATTACTGATCTATATAGAGAAAATTGTTGAAAGAAGAACAAATTTAAGAACGTTGGCGTCTTCCAAATAGGACAGTTATTTATGGTTTGCAAAAAATAAAAATAAAATATAAACCATAATGATTTTTTGTCTCAGCGGAGTCTGCCCAAAGAAAATGAAGCTCCCCTTTCAAAAATGCAGGTTGTGGGGCATTTTCAGGAAGGCACACAAGGGGGCGCTGTCAGAACTTGTCAATCAAGGGACATGACACTAAATTTTCACTTTGTAACTTTGCTTTTACTAATGGTTTTGGAAATTACTGATTAAGAAATGTGGGCATGTTTGGGTGGAGAGAGAATGAGAAACTTTTATTAGCATACCCACTGTTGTAACAATCGCTTATTTTATTCTAGAAATTAAAAGCATCTTGAACAGGATCTCAGTTAGCAAATAAATGTTTTGACCTTGAAAGTCTTGAGAGTTTCTGTCCTCAGTGTCTCTTCTCACAGAAATCTACAATAGCTGAAATATGTCTGTTTCTTTGGAACTGACAAATGAGCAAGGATTATTCCCAAATTAAATCGAAAATATAATGCCTTTTATTATCCCTCAAAGAACTTTAAAAGAATCGCTACCAATTTTGAGGGAGGGGTGGAGGGCAGGAAGGGATATACCCAAGCAGAATTTTATCTGTACAAAAATCACATTTAAATCAATATATGAATACATATGTTTTTTCACAAATAAAAATGAGTTTTGGGCATACATTCTATTTTAAACCTCAGCATTTACTCAATGCAGTGAATATCTTTCCATACCAATAAATATAGATCTGCATCAATAGGTAATTATTGGGTAGCAAGACAACAGGCACAATTGGAGAAGCAATTCAGCAGCAGTGAAACATAGCTCTTCAAGGTAACCTTTTTTTTACCCACCTCTCCCACTTCAGGCTGCAATTTCAACTTGTGGTTATCTATTTGGGATTTGGTATCAATAAAATAGTCTCAGTTCCCTCCCCTCTCTTGTCCTGTAACATAGGCGTTATTTGTGGAGGACAGATATTCCGCCAGGCCTCTGAGGCTCTGCACAGTGTATGACGTGGGACTGCAGGCCATCCAGGCCTTCTAAGACAGGAGGCCTGCAGGCTGTGTCCGCAGCCCTTCCCACGGCAGGAATCCCAATCCCAATCCCAACTCAGTGGGTCTTTCTTCCCAGACTCCAACTACTTAGAGATGATGTATCTTTGTGTGTCTATCTCCCAGTCGAGTTCAGGGCCTGGCATGGAATAGGTGCTTTTAGACATGTTTAATGAAAGCAACAAATGTCCTCAGTGATAACGTTCCTGACCTGTGAAAATGTATACAAGGTGTGATTCGTCTGTCTAGCTAATCACCCCACTGGCATGTCAGCCACTTCCAAAGACACGACTTCCGCTTCAACTCGGAAGCTAGCTCAGTGCAAGCCGCAGCAGCTTTCTAGAACCTGAGGCAGAGAACTGGGGAGGCTTTCCGGGGACAGACAGGAGGAAAGACAGGTCAGTTCTCCAAGCTGGCCTGGAGTGCAGGAAGAGGCCATGAGAAGCAGCACACCACGGTGGTTGAGAGACTGGGCTCTGAGCCAAACCATGTGGCTTTGGATCCTGACTCTCTTTCACAGTACTTCCTAGCCGTGTGGCTCTGGGTACGTCACCTAACCTCTCTGTAACTGAACTTCGTGCTCTGTTAAAATGGGGATGATAACATGCATCCTGTAGGGTCTTAGCAGGATACAGTGAGGTAACCCGTACACAGTGCATCCTGCTGGCCCGTGGCGAGGGCAGGGCCCTTGTAATGAGACAATGCTCATGATCACATGGGCCAGGGAAGATGGAAGCTGACAGACTCGCTTCTTGAATTTTTATCATGGATCACAAAGTAACAATTCTGAAAGGAGAAGATCAAAGATAGTAACAGATGGTAGAAGATTCTAGTATAGAAAACACTCTGTGGGGCAGCATTTTTTTCAGAGGAATTAAAGATGCGGCCCTTGACACAAATAGTCATTTTGTGATCGGGAAGGCTCATTCTGACTTGCCTCCAGCTTGGAAGTCTCTGTCCTGTGCCCGCGAGTCATACTGGTATTTCTAATATGGTCTATTTTTTTTTTTTTTCTTTAAGTAGCGTGGAGCCCAACATGGGGCTCAACAGGGCTCAAACTCACAGCCCTGAGATGGAGACTTGTGGGATCAAGAGTTGGACACTTAACTGACTGAGCCCCCCAGGCACCCCTCTAATAGCCTATCACTGATGCCTGATTTTATCTGGCTCAGTCGAGGGGAGGACAGTATTCCTTTTGCTTTGTTGCATGCAGGGAGGTCCCCTGAAGGGGGTGGGGATCCATGTACGTTTTTGATTAACTTTCACCTCACACATTCATGTCTCATACTGCTGAAGCCCAGCTTTGCACCTTGGTCAAACCATTGTTTAGAACGGGAAGTACCTGGAGATACTGTCATGTGACTCTAAGCTATCCATCCTGTGGGCTGGCTGTGCGCCGGAAGCAACGCCAGGACGGTCATCAATGGTGTCCAGTCCAGACTCTCTGGAAAGGTTCATGATGTGGTTCTGGTAGTACATGTGGATGCTCTCCCGAGTGGGAACGTTGCCCTGTGGAGGGGAGACATTGCCACAGTCCTTACTTGCCCGTGCAGCCACCTGGCATTTCTCCATACCGAGAACTCTCAGTCGGCATGCCCACCTTGCGCAAAGATGAAAACAAAGCTAGTCAAGGTGGGGATTGACGGTAACTCATTGCATTAATGGCACCCAATATCACTGGGTAAGGCTCCCAAGAAATCCCTTCTTGGTTATGGGTGAAAATAGTCAAAAGACACAAACTTCCAGGTATAAAATACGTAAGTCCCGGGGATGTCACGGACAGCATGGTGACTGTATGGCATGTGACCAGAACTTAGTAGTTCCCATCACAAGAAAAAAAATTGGAACAATGTGTGGTGATGGATGTTAAGTCGACTAGCTGTGACCATTTTGCAATATATACAAATATGGAATCCTTATATTGTACATCTGAAACTAATAGGTTACAGATCAATTGTATCACAATAAAAATAAGATAAAAACTTTAAAAATCAAATCCTTTCTTATATGTAGATGATTTGGCTAAGTGATAGTAACTTTTTCAGAAACAAACTATCAGTTTTAAATACTATCTATAAACTGTATATGACTATGTTTTATTGTTCTGCATATATCTTAATTTTTCTTCTGAGAAGTTTCAGATCAAACTTCCCAGACTAAACAACATAATCCATCAAGAGACAGCAGAGTCTGTGCACCTGCAAACTGGTGAGGGGAAGGAACAGAATGAATAAGCTGGCCACTGTCTCAGGACTCGTGTGTGCGTGTGTGCGCATACAGCGTCTGGTTATTTTAATTCTGTGCATGGAACAGATTTAAATATACAGGAAAACAGAGGGGCTATGTAAAGACTGTCCGAAAGACAGACTATAGATTTTGTGTTATCCTATTTGGAGCTCTGGACATTGACTTTTAAAATCTTTAGAATGTGGGAAGAAGAAAAAGAATTGTACCAACAGTGTTACCTTTTTAATTTCTCTGGTCAGCATGCATCTTTCAATTCTCAGAACTGTAGATATATCAATATGCTCCCTTGAAATGGAGTTAAGCCAAGTTGTGAAACTATCCACTGTTGCCAGAAACAGAACCCAGGTGAATTTCAAAATATTAAATATCCTCTTGATGATATTATCTAGGAAGAAGAAAAGTGACAAGATTTCAAAGGAGCAAAATGCCGTCAGCCGTTTTGCTGTTTTGTGTAGCACGGTGATATCTTAACAAAGGCAGACCTGGTTTCAGACCTGCATACCTAATACGGAGTGACGCCGTGACACTCAGCGTGATGGGGGGCGTGGAGGAGGACAGGCAGTATAGGAAGCTCTGGGTGGGTCTTTCTACACATGCACTGCAAGCATCAAAACCAAACTGGGATGGAATTTTTATCCTGTGGTCAAAACATCAGTCAGAATAGGTCCATATACAGATAATAGGTTTGATAAAGAGGAGAGATCGAAACAGTCTATCTGTCTAGGAAACCAGATCCTTTCATGCTTTTTCTATAAATTTCTTCTTTTCTTAAGTCATGATTATTTTTTGGAAACAATTCTATTGATTCAGTAAGACTTTTGATGCTTGGCACTGCAGCTGCATTTCAGTTAAATCACCTGCCAGCTATTGTGTAAAGAGCTCAGTACGTATACAAGGAGCACGCTGGTACAACTGAGTTATCGTCATCATTCCTATTTCATCTACTGAGCTGTGCCAACTACAGAATTCTGCACATGGGATCGCTCCTGTCCAGACCAACAGACACTGTGAGATTCCTGATGTTCTTGGGTTGTCTTCCCTAGCAGCAGCTGTGATGTGGGGAGCCCGGCTAAGCTACCAAGCATGATAGGCTCTGCTCAGACTGCCACCGTGTCTGGGACATCGTCTGGGTGCAGACGCGTGCCTCTCTCGTGCCCTCAGGGAATCCTCAAGAGCTCCCTGCTCATCCTTAAGTTTGGAGGAGGTTCCACACTTGTGACCTAACTTATTTTAGGTCAGAATCAAAATAAAAGAGGAAAGATGGCATCTTAACTGTCTGTCTTACCCCTCCATTCCCGTAAGCCAATGGTTTCTCAACTGGTACATACGGAATGCTTCAAGCCACCAAATTTTGACCCATGTGAATTTTTTAATTTGGTATTTGAAAAATTTTGTCTTATTAGCAATGTCAAACACTGACTGCAGTAAAACGAATACTTAGTGAACATCACAATGAATTAAAAACTGCCTTAGTGTTTATTAACGAAACCCTAAAACACCACCACCACTACCAGCACCAAGAAAAACAACTGGTATCCCTCAACCTTCCCGCAACCAAAACACCACAGTCTGACTCCGAATTTAATTTTGTAATAAGGGGAAAGAAGTTATTTGTGAATTGGGTTGCCTAGGAGGAAGGCAGAATCCCTCACAGGGAAAGGTTTGCTCTTTTCCAAAGGAGAAGCATCGAAGGGAAGTTTATCTACGGACGGTGTGGCCTCAGGACAGAGTCCAGGTGGGCAAGGTAGAGACAAAGAAGAGTTGAACAGTTCTACCTACTGAAGGAACAGGAATCTTGGAGCTGCCAGCTGGTACCTGGGGAAGAAAGTGGGAATGATCTAATGAGCCAGGCCCCAGAGGCACCAGCTGGGGAGAGACCCACTGAGGCAGGAATGGTGATCACGGACTTTCCCGTAGAAGCTGTTGCCTACCTCTGCCGTCACTGCCCTCCACCCGCGCTATCCCCCAAAGCCTCTGTAAAATGCCATCACACCTAACACTGTTCCGTGAGGCGTACTTTAGGAAGGAAATGAGAGTATCGTCTGTTGAGCAAAGAAGCCCAGGAAGGGGCCAGCTGCTACATGAAGCTGAAGGGAGGGGGGTCCTGCAGATTCCACAGAAGAGCCATTCTGAGCCAGAGGCGGCCAGGGGCACCTATATCGCTCTTGCCCCTCCCCCCGCAACCCGTTTTGGGTTTAATCTGAGCAAGGTGCTATTTCCCTCAGTGCTTTAGGTGGACTCTCCAGCTCCGTTGTGTAGACATCAAAAGAAAGTCTGAGCTTGAAGGACTTGGCAGTTACACCTATTAATAAACTTTAGTAGCATCTCACATTTTGGACAATTTATTTTTTTTCTCATATTCACAGTGAGGTGGTGATGATACATATGATTATTTCACAGTTTTGCGGAGCACAGTCCTGATGGCAAGACTAAAATTGCCATCTTGGAGACACGAATAACACACACTTTCTTAACTTGAGTGATCACAAACTAACATGAGAAATTGCATTTTTAATTTTTATTTATTTCTTAGCCAGAGAGGCAGTAAGGCAGAGTGATGAAGGGCACACACTCTGGATTTAGACTTTTTTGGGTTTAAATCCCAATTCTACCCCTTAGTGGTTGTGTAGACTTGGAAAATTTACCTAATCTTTCTCTGCCTCAGTTTCTTATCTGTTCGATAAGGGCGAGGGTTTTTGAGGTAAACAGTGAAGATGCCTAAAGCTCTTGGAGAATTGCCCGGCAGCGATGTGTGATCTAAAGTGCTGCTATTATTGTATGTAGCTCTGCAGCAATAATAGAACATCTGTTTCCACATATGTGTGAGTCAAATACTCTGGAAATGGGGGTTCAAGTTTAAGAATTGTGCCAAAGACGTGTTAGACAGCCTTGGGGAAGTCTCATTTGGGGCCAGCAGATGGCATCCTTGGAAGCGTCTGTGTCCACACTAACAGCGCCTGAAAATCTGGCCTGCTGAGAAATAATGTACATAGGAGTTCCAACCCTGTGACATGGAGGAAATGGCATGTTTATGGAATTAGAGAGGCATTTGAGTTCATTTCATTTGGAAGCTTTTTTTTTTTCCTTCATGGAAAAATCTTCCTCCCAGTCACATGTTAGGTGAAGCCCAAACGACACTATGACTGAGCTAGGAGTTAGAAAACATGGATTCGGTCCCTGACTCTGTCGCTTAGTAGCTGTAGAGTCCTGAGCAAACTCACTGGGAATTGGTGCTCCCTTCAGTCAAGTGAGGACTTTGGCCTAAGCTTCTAGAATACCTCTCATTTCCCCCACTGTACTTACCTCTCATTTAACTCCTTCTTTCTCTGTCCTTTAAAATTAATTGCCAATATTTTTTGTGCTTTTATTTTGGTCGCTTCCACGGGACATTTATAATTTGCTCCCCCAAATCCCCTTTCATGGGTATTTGGGTAAGATAATTTGCAAACTGACTCTAATCCAACATTTAATCCAACAGAGTAAGCGTCAGATCTACTTTAAGGATTCACTTGGAAATTTCACTAGAGATGAGATTTCAAGGGACACTGATTATTTAGTCAAAGTCCAGAAACAGTATTTGACGAATTATCTTTAGGCAGCCTTCCATGACATACCTTCTGGGAAAGCAACATTTTCAAATTTCCCCCAGCTCATATTTGTCTTTGTGTGGTTACCTGGTCCATCAGATTTCTTTTTGACTGGTTCCTCCTCTCGGTCTTCCCACTCCACAGGACCTGCCGAGTGTGTTCAATAAACATGAGTTAGATCCTTTTAGGGTAAATTAAATGTCAACACTACTCTTCTGGACTAAAAGGAATTCTGTAATTAAATCTATTCTGCCTAATTTAAGAGTTCACGGGGAAAAGTTGTAAGAATTCATGGCTCTCAGATTCTCTTTACTCCGGAGTAAGAATCACGTTTAACTGGGGATAAGTGAATTATGATGCACAGGCTAAATCTTGCCAGCTTCCTATTGTTAAATGGCCTATGAGTTCAACACAGTTTTTATATTTTTGATAGTTGAAAAAAATCTTAAAAAGAGCAATATTTTGGGCATGTGAAAACGATATGAAATTCAGATTTTAATGAACAGAGCCACACCCATTTGTTTACACATTGTGGCTACTTTCCCCCAATCCTGGCAGACACGAGTTGCCACAGAGATTTATGGCCTGCCAAACTTAAACATTTACTATCTGGCCCATTACAGAAAGAGTGTGTTGACTCCTGATACATAACATGACATTTTAATTTTGAATACCTTGAGGTGATGTTACATATTTTAGTGTGTCACCCCATAGAATAACATTATATAGGGCTCCATTTTATGTTTTAGCCTCTTATTTCAGGCTAAGGATGTCAGATCTAGCAAATGGAAATATGGGACACCCAGTTAAATTTGAATTTATGAAAAAAAATTAATCTTTTTAGTTTAAGTCCCATACAGTATGTCCACATTATACTTAGCCTAAAAAATTATTTGTTGTTTATCTAAAAATTCAACTGTTACTATATCTGGTAGTACTAAGACCATTCATGAACTGACTTCAATTAACCTTTCCAAATGTATTTTCTACCATGCTGTTTTCCATCACATCTCGTCTTTACCAACTAAGCTGACCTGCTCTTTACTTTTCATACACAGCTTTTCTTTCTTTTGCCAGAATGATGTCAGGCCCTATTAAAACAGTTTTTCATGAAGCACCTCCTTCCTTTATACTCTTAGCTGTAAGTCCTCCTTTCTCCTGGCCCCACGCTATTTTATCTATGCTTATTTTTAAAATGGAACTCTGCAGTCTCTACATCATTAGGGATTTTTTTCCCTATACTTGTGTTCCCCATTTGTCAAGAGAGAAAGGTCGGGGAGTCAGGATGCCTGCATGAATTCCAGACCCATTGGATGGCTCTGTGACCTTAGGCCAGTTCCTTCATTCTCTGGAATCTCATTTCCTCAAAGGATCAAATGAGTTACAGCCTAGAAACACTTATAATGGCTCCGGGCACTTCAGGAGGGCAGAATAGACGTGCTTCATCTGTCTGGTAGTAATCTGGAAGGGACAAGCCCTTCTACCAAAGAAGAAGGGGCTAGATAAATACTAAAGGAATAAATAAACATCTATTTTCGTCCTAACACCTTTTAATTATTGCTGTCTCTGATCTGAAGGTAAGCATCTGCACATGGACTCATCTTCATGAAACAGAGTAATGAGATATTTACAAGATGACTAAAAACACATTTTTAGAGCTCATCAGAAAATTTTGTAAGAACAAATGTCTGAGGATAGTAAATATAAGTTGGGGGGAAATAAAGGGGATGGTGAGGGGGAACTTGCAACACTGAATATTAAAACTAACTCGATAGCCACTGAACTCAAAAATAGATGACACTGGCCCAGAGCTAGACAGTAGGATAGTGGACCAGAGTCCAGAGTCCAGAAACAGGCCAAAGAATAAATGGGAGCTGAATACTGACAAAAGTAGCATTTAAATTCACTAGAAAAAGGGAGAATAATTTAATAAACAGGGATAGCATAATTGCCTATCTATGTAAAAGTAAACAAACTAGATCTCTACTTCACAGAATAATAAAAATTCAAAATATAAATAAAATTGGGAGGAAATAAAGGAAAATAATATCTGGGGGAAAGACTTTCTTAAGCAACAAGGAAACCCTGAAACTGCAAAAAGAATCGAGACCTCTTTGACATCAGAAAAAATTAAAAATTGTTTAGATAACATAGATCAAAACTAAATCAAAAGATAAACACTTGCATGGGTAAAAAATACTTGTAACACATGAGAAAAGGATAATATCCATAATATATAAATATTCCCTAAATCAATAAGGACAAACAACCCAATAGGATGATATTATGGAAAATGATAAAAATGTTTAAATCTCAGATTTGGAAGTACAGAATACCATGAAAATATGAAATAAAAAATGCTCAGTCTCATTAGTTAGGAAAATTCAGATGAAAATAAAAGCCATCTGTCATCCCTTTGAAAGACAAACAATAAAAAAAAAATAATAACATTCTGTAGGATAAGGCTACAGGGAAATGGATACTCCTGTACCTTATACCTAGGAGTGTGAATTTCTAAAACCTTTTGGGAAAATATATATTAAAGTAAAGAAAATCACATCCCCTTATTCAGAAATCCCACTTTTGATAATCTATTCTGTGGAAAGTCTGTGTTCTTCCTGACTTTTCGCTTTGCATTTAAATACACACACATATGTATGTATGACTGTATGCATTTTTGTGTGAGGCTATCTATGATAGCATTATTCATTGTGGAAGCAAACTTAATGTCCATTAGTGATGGGATAGTTGAATAAATTATGCATATCCATATTGTAGATGTTTTTGCAGCCATTAAAAAAGGATGATATAGTTTTATAAATACTTAATTGGAGAAATGTTCATGACACATTGCTAATGAACATACCAGAGTGATCTGTATAGCATGAACTCATTTTTGAAAATAAACAAAGGAAATGGTGCCTGCACACATTTACATACCCACATGAGTAAGGAGTGGAAATGAACACCACACATGGTGAGGACTTGGCACCTGCGGGGATGGGTTTCCACAGCAGATTATCACATCTACCTCTTGACTGTTTGACTTGTTACATTGGCTGTGTCTTCATTTTGTCTTTTGAACCAATAAAGTAAAATAAAATTAAAGCTACCAGGAGGCAGCAGGGAGCCGAATGGTCAAAGAGGAGAGAGAGTTTGTAGCTGGAATTCCATTAGTAATTATGCTTCCTTTTCTTTGATTTTTGAAGACATTTTTAATTTCACACAAAAAATCTATGTCTATTTTCTTTGTAAAGAATCAAAATATAACAGATAAGCCTAAAGTTCCCTAAAATCAACCACCTAATCTCGATCTCTCCACAGAAGAGTCTCCTCTCCTACTCCTCTCCCAGAAGTAACCACTGTTATTAATTGCTAAGTATTCTTCCTGATCTTTCTCTTGCATTTATACACTATTATATGCGTCCATTAAAAATGCAAAATCCTGTCTTGAGGAACATTGTTGGCTTCCACGGTTTCGTAAATGGTTTTAAAATGTGCATGCCATTTGAAACATAATACTTTTCATTTAACAATATGTCAAGTTCAAAGTACCATCGATCCTTGAACAACACAGGTTTGAACTGTGCAGTTCCACTTATACTCTGGTAATTTTTTTATAAATACAATGCAGTTCTGCAAATATATTTTGTCTTTCTTATGATTTTCTTGATAGCCTTTTTTTCTCTAGCTTACTTCATTGTTAGAATACAGTATATAATACACATAACATACAAAATATGTATTAATCAACTATGTTATTGGTAAGGCTTCTGGTCATTAGCAGCCTATTAGTAGTTAAATTTTTGGGGAACCAAAAGTTATACAAGGTTGACTGTGTGGGGGTCAGTGCCCCAACCCCGACATTGTTCAACTGTAATCCATCTCATTTTTTAAACTACTGAATAGAATTATAAGTTTTTGTTTGTATTCGTAGTCATGGGTCTTGTGCACATGTGCAAATATTGCTTCAAGTTAAGCCACACATCTAGAAGTGGGACTGATCTGTAGTAGGATATGTACATTCAATATTTTTTTTTAATTTTTATTTTTTTAAGATTTTTAAAATTTTTATTTATTTGTCAGAGAGAGAGT